AAAATCAACCAATGACAACAAATAGAAATAAACGCATATTTTTGTGATTTTCCTTTTAGAGCCGAATGATGGTTTAATTAATTCCTAAATGTATAATTAAATCCTAAATATGCATGCAACATGTATTTTTTTTATTTTTCAATTAACTACAACAAGGCAAACATTTACGGGCAAAACACAAATAATTATCAAAAATGCCACGCAAATCCTAACAATTGTACACCAAGAGAATTTTGCTTTATTTTTGATTTCTTTTGGAGTAGTTTTCATGAAGCAAAAATCACGTGCTCACAATTGGTACTCACAATCAGAGAGTGACCAACCCAATTTCTGGTTTTCTCTATCAAACACCATCCGATATCCCGTCATGAAGTTCTTTGTACAGGAAAAATGATTGTTAGCACTTCCAAAAATTGAGAGAGGAAATTGCAAATATCACTTTTGCATTACAGTTTCACCCCATTCCTTTGCAGGTGGAAATTATTACAGTTGCATACAGAAGGAAGAAACCACATGGTGAAGAGAGTCAGGCTTACGTCCAATCGTTCCGATATATATGCCCAAAGGCTCCACAGCTAAACAAAATCCAACAGCACCCTACATAAAGATATTGAATTAGTTCAAAATTAATTAGAAGTGAAGGACCAAAAGTTGGCATGATAAAAAAAATCAGGAAAAAAAAAATAGGACGCACCACAAATTTACATGTAATCAAAAGAACCAAAAAGTTCATCTCTGAGCTAAAAAACAGATGGAGTATATTCAAGAACTTACCTGACTGCCATAAATCACAAATACAGGATCCTGGACTATAAAAGTGTCGTTCCTCATGAACTTCAGAGTAAATGAAGGAATATTTGGTAACCCTTCAGAACTGTCTAGGATCAAATACACATTCGGTACATATAATGAGGCAGAAAAAAGAAAGTACATCTCTCTTTCTCTTATATTCCATTACTTGGATTTTGTAGCAATATTGCCAAGGATATCCTTCAAAGCTGACTTTTGTAGCATTCACTTCCCTGTCAAACTGTAACCGGAAAAGGATATGTGAAAATACAGCGTACAATAAGCAGCAAATAGTTGTAAGCCTACCTCTTTAACGACTCTATCGTACATTTGATTTAGGAGAAATGTAAAGGATGTCCCACTACCCACAATGGCTTTGAAGTTTGTCTGTTCAATACAACTCATCTACAACTTTCACACATTATTTCTACCTAGTTAAATACAACTACAATAACATACAATTTAAATACAAATTTTATACAATATATCTTTTGTATATTTTGTATCTGATTTATACATAGAAAAAATAAATTTCATACAACTAATTATATATTATACAACTTATCTACAACTTTCATACATTATTTCTACTTAGTTATATACAACTACAATATCATATAACTTAAATATAATTTTAATACAATGTTGTTCAACTTTCATACAATAGTTAAATAAAGAAAAGAAAAATACATAAACAACAAAATACAATTTTTCTACAATTTTACTATAATTTCGTAAATATAATGTATATCATGTCTTCTTCTTCTTCTTCTTCTTCTTCTTCTTCTTCTTCTTCTTCTTCTTCTTCTTCTTCTTCTTCTTCTTCTTCTTCGAGTTTCAATCTGAAATTCAGCCAAAATCAAGTCTAATCTTCACCAAAATCCCTCAAAATTGAGATATAAACTCCAAACCATATTCCCAATTGTTTGCAACAACACACAATCCAAACAAATAATAATTTTTGAAAGCCCAAATTCGAATTCAAAGCTTCAAAGCTTTTTAATGACTGTCAATGGTGGAATTGCTGCTCTCTTTTCCTTTGCTTTACATTACTGAAATTAGGGATTGAGAGATAGAGAGAGACGTAGAGAGAATTCTCAATTCTTTGCAACAACATACAATTCAAACAAATAATATTTTTTGAAAACCCAAATTTGAATTCAAAGCTTTTTAATGGTTGTCAATGATGGAATTGTGGGTGAGTGCAAGATACGTGGGGGAGGGGGATAAGATGTGGAGAGAGAAATGTGGGGGAGTGGAAGATATGTTAGAGTAATTTTAGGACACTAATTATTATCATTAATTCCCTTAAAATGTACATAAATGGTAATTGGGTATATAAAATGTAATTATAGTAAAACTTGAGTAGGGAGGGTAATATAATTTCATATAGTGTATAGGAATGTAAAAATACCTATAACATATCAAATAAAAAATAATTATTTTTAAGAAATTTTAGCAAAGTTATTCATGGATCAATTTGAACTAAAATTTAGCTCAACTTTAAATGAGTTGGGTCAAGATAAGCTGAATTCAACAAATGAGTTGGTCATTGACCGGCCCAATCCTTGGGCTAGTCAAATGTGTTTGGGGTCAAATTGACACTCCTAGTTACGGCAAGTGTGCTGTTGACTTCCATATTGTGTCCTTTTTTCTATATTTATCACTAGTACGTTATTAAATTATCTACTTAATATGGAAATAATTTATTGCGCTCAATCATGTATTACTGTCAAAAAGGTGACACAGGAAAGTAGGGCTGCTTATCGGGCAAATTGAACGGTTATTTACTCTTAACGGTTTGACTTATCGGTTATCAATTTTTAAATGTATTAATCCGCTAGCCACCCGATAAGATATCAGCTGGATTGGTATCAGTTTAACTATTATCGGGCAATTATCGATTTAGTTTCAGTTGATTGAAACTTAACATACTTCAACACGGTGTTGGGAAGTACATCTCCGAGACAATAATATAGTCAACATTTCTCATACATATATGTCAACTAAATTACACCATGAGGCCATATTACTAGAATCAAACACTGGATATCAAATACTTCTTTTATCTTCTCATACTACATTAAAGTGGATGGTAAGTGATTGAAAAGTGCACAACATAGTACATCAACAGTATCATTTGAACAGATTTCTTACTGTTTAAGAAGATAATAAACTGTTAAAAAATAAAAAAAAAATAACTTGGTTAAAATTGAACCTAATGTGTAAAGTGTAAATGTTAATAGTTTAATACTGATTATTGGTCTCTAGTGGGGAAGGGATTAGGATTTAGGAGAATACACGCGTCAAAGAGACTCAATGGCCAATTAGATACTTCCAAGCAATCAGTACAATTCACTTTGTACAATTGTCCAGAGCAGTAATATTGATAAAAATAAATTTTATAAATATTGGTATCAGGTTAACGGATTATCCATTAAGAAAATTAAATAATCCGCCCAAATCCGATAAGCCGTTAATAAAAAAAATTCAATCTGTTCCCCGTCCGTTAAACCGTTAACCTGATACTAATAAGCCACTAAGCTTCGGTTTTGAACACCCCTACAGGAAAGTCAGCAATGTTCTAGAAATTTTTGTATATTTTCCTCAAAAAAATTTAAAAAAACGTTACAATCTCTAACGTGGTTGTACATTTGTACCCTCACAAGCGAAAACAGAAATATAAAGACATCATATAATAGCTTCTTAATATTCTAATATTTCCTTTTATTCTTGAAAATAAATATCTAATTTAAATTCCTTTACGTATAGGAAAATGCAAAGTTTTAGGGGCAAAATTATTTTTGCCCTCAACTTTGCCTTAATAATTAAATTCTCACCCCAACTTTGAGCTATAGACATTTTTTGGTTTCATATCCGATGCAAATGCCTACTTTATCTTTTTTAATTTTTAATTTTTAATTCTCCCTTCAGGTAATTTTTAATATTATGATATTGTAATTCCTTTTTTCACATTAAGTGCCTTATCTACAAAGCAAACCACGGCAAATCTTATCCAAATGGAAAAAATTGAAATTACAAAAATTTTGTTTCAACCATGGTTTTCAGCAAAGAAGAGTATTTAAATTTTTGCAGAAATTGTTTTTCAACATTTAAAGAAAACACCATCTTATTTTTGCTGTCAGTAAAAAAATTTATTTAAAAAGAAAAGGAAGTGAGCCACCTATACCATTTTAAATTCAAGTTCTATAAATTAACACTATCAATAAATTTACGTATAATAAGTAACTTTCCATGGTAAACTTCAAAATAATAAAATAATCACTATAATTAATAATATGTAACTTAAGCAATACATATTTAATTAGTCTTAAATTATTTGTCGTGTTTTTTAATACGCTCCTTGAGAAAATATTAAGTAGAAGGGATATTGAACTAATTTACCCTTATTTATATCTTAAGATATAATATCTCAATTGAATATTTACTTTATTTATGTGTTATCTCTATTTTCAAGAATAATTATTAATTACTTTCGTCTTGGGCTTTTAGAATAATAAATAATTGAGGTAACTATTTTTAGAAAATACGACCAATCACTTAATTCCTAGATTATATCGTATGTAGTGTACAGTGGCGGAACCACATGCACCCAAGGATAGTGGGAAAATTATAATGTAGCTGGATAATAAAATATATATATACTATATATTAACTGACACGACTTTTTGGAGAGTTTTTTATTTATATTTATTTAATAAAAATGCTCATATTTAGATACAACATATACTTCATTTGGTTCCTCGTGATTGGTCTTTAAATTTAACTGCTGCCAGTCTTGAGTATTTAAAGCTTTTTTGGGTAAAGCAATAAAGACTCTATTTTTAGCTAACCATTTTGCTTCATTTGGCTGGTTCTGAGTGGTTGAGAATGAGAACCATAAGTTGGAAAACTGAACTCCTTCTTAGCTTTGGTCCTTCTCCACATGGGGTTCTAGAAATTCTTTAAAAAAGATGGAATCTTGGATTGGTATGAGGTAGTAATAGTCCCCAAGTGGGTATCACCTTTTGTTCTTTTGTGGTGTTTTCTTAACTATGGTAGATTCTATTTGATATAAAGATTATGTAAATTCCTTCCTCTTATTTCAATTTTGGTTGTTTCATTTCAAGAATCTTGATTCTTCTAGGCTTTTCTGCATATATTATTTGATTAGGGTACTAAGTACTAACATTGGAGAATTGAGGAATTCCATCTTTCAATATTGATGTTTTCTTGTTACTGAAGCAAAGAAAGGATTAGAAATGTCTTCTAAATCTACAACAAGCAAGACTAATTGCTCTAGGAGCAGTTCAGCTAGGTCTAGGCATGGTGCTCGTGTTGTTGCTCAAACCCCAATTGATGCAAAACTCCACATGGAGTTTGAAGAGTCTGAACAACAATTTGATTACTCTAATTCAGTTAACTTGTCAAATTCCACTAGCAATGTTCCATCTTCAACTGTATCTGCTTATCTTCAGAAAATGCAAAGGGGAAGTCTAATTCAGCCATTTGGCTGTATGATTACTATTGATGAGCAGAACTTTACTGTCATTGCTTATAGCGAAAACGCACCAGAAATGTTGGACTTGATACCTCATGCTGTTCCGAGCATCGAAATGCTAGAGGCTTTGACCTTTGGAACTGATGTCAGGACACTTTTTCGATCTTCAGGTGCTTCCGCGCTTGAAAAAGCAGCTAGCTTTGGAGAACTTAGTTTGCTTAATCCTATTTTGGTTCATTGTAGAAACTCGGGTAAGCCTTTCTATGCGATTTTACACCGCATTGATGTTGGGTTAGTAATAGATTTGGAGGCTGTGAATCCAGATGATGTCCCTGTAACTGCAGCTGGAGCATTAAAATCTTATAAGCTAGCTGCTAAAGCTATTGCAAAATTACAATCTCTGCCAAGTGGGGATATATCATTGCTATGTGATGTATTAGTTAGAGAAGTGAGTCATTTGACGGGCTATGATCGTGTTATGGTTTATAAATTCCACGAGGATGAACATGGGGAAGTTATTGCAGAATGTCGTAAGCGTGAACTAGAACCTTATCTTGGCTTGCATTACCCTGCTACCGATATACCACAAGCTTCGAGATTTCTCTTCATGAAGAATAAGGTTCGGATGATATGCGATTGCTTAGCTCCACCAATTAGGGTGATTCAGGACCCGAGACTGGCTCAGCCACTGAGCCTTGGTGGATCCGCATTAAGAGCTCCCCACGGCTGTCATGCACAATACATGGCCAATATGGGTTCTATTGCATCTATGGTCATGTCGGTGTTGATTAGTGAGGAAGATGACGAGTTGGATAGTGACCAGCAAATGGGAAGAAAATTGTGGGGTTTGGTCGTTTGCCATCACACTTGCCCTAGATTTCTTCCTTTTCCGTTGAGGTACGCATGTGAGTTCTTGGTTCAAGTTTTCAGTGTTCAGATCAATAAGGAAGTGGAAGTGGCAGCTCAACTTAGGGAAAAGCATATACTGCGAACTCAGACTGTTCTTTGTGACATGCTTCTAAGAGATGCCCCCTTGGGAATCGTTAACCAGTCTCCTAATGTTATGGACCTTGTAAGGTGTGACGGGGCTGCACTTTACTATAGGAACAAACTTTGGTTGCTTGGTGTTACGCCAACGGAGTCCCAAATTAGAGATATAGCTGAATGGCTTAATGAATCTCACGGTAGTAGTACAGGTTTAAGCACTGATAGCCTCATGGAAGCTGGCTACCCATGTGCTGCTGTGCTCGGCGATGCGGTGTGTGGAATGGCTGTTGTAAAAATAACTTCAAAAGATTTTCTCTTCTGGTTCCGCTCCCACACAGCTAAAGAGATCAAGTGGGGTGGTGAAAAACATGATCCCGGAGACAAGGATGACGGAAGAAAGATGCACCCAAGGTCATCATTTAAAGCCTTTTTGGAGGTTGTTAAGCGGCGGAGCGTACCTTGGGAGGATGTGGAAATGGATGCAATCCATTCCTTGCAGCTGATATTGCGAGGATCTTTGCAAGATGAGGTTGCTGATTGTTCTAAAATGATTGTGAATGTCCCTGCTGCAGATACCAGTATAGAGAGAGTGGATGAACTTCGTATTGTCACAAACGAAATGGTTCGTCTTATTGAGACAGCATCAATACCCATTTTGGCAGTTGATGCTTCAGGCCGTATTAATGGATGGAACTCGAAAATTTCTGAGTTAACTGGATTGCTTATAGAGAAAGCAATAGGCGTACCATTGGTCAATTTGGTTATTGAAGATGGAGCAAGCACAATTGAAGGTGTTCTCTCCCTGGCTTTGCAAGGTGATACTCTGATTATCCTTTGGTTTTACTCTGTTAGTTGAATATTTGCAATGCATAGATTGAATTGAATCATGCCTTTTTATTTATTATTCCTTTCTTCTTGGGCCGAGGGTCTTTCGGAAACAGCTCTCTCTACCCCTCCGGGGCAGGGGTAAGGTCTGCCTACACTCTGCCCTCCCCAGACTCCACTTGTGGGATTTTTACTGGGTTGTTGCTGCTGTTGTTGTTCCTTTCTTAAATTATAGGAATGGTGTATATAAGTTGAGATTAAAGAAAGGAATGGGGATTCATATCGCCGACCCGAACTTGTTTGAGGCATAATAGTTGTGTTGTTTTCTTTATTATAACTTTAGCACAAGCTGCATTGGCTATGTCAAATTGTTTATTTATCAAGCCGTAGCATATTTGGTCCCATTTTGAGTTTGTTTCCTCATGTATATAGACCTCTGAAATGAAGCTCTAAGAAGAACAAAAAGAAGTGTCAGAAACTGAAGTCTAAATTAGATGAACTGTTTTGGACATCACAGTCGGGCATTGTTTGGTCTGTCGCTCTTTTGGCTGGATATGTTGTCTGAAACTTGTTCTTTACTTCTTCCTCAACGCTGGATATTAGACATATTAGCATTTCCAACCTCCCTTCCTGTCTTATTTCTCTGGGTCGCCACTTGACTTCCATGCAATAACTTAGGTGCTTATTTTGTTCTTTGGTGCTTTTTCCTGGAAAATGATCTACTTTGATATTTGACTTGCAGGCAAGGAGGAGAAAAATGTAGAAATCAAACTTAGGACATTTGGTCGCCAAGAAAATGTCGGACCAATTACGTTAGTGGCTAATGCCTGCTGTAGTCGAGACATAAAACAAAATATTGTTGGAGTTTGCTTTATCGGGCAAGATGTTACTGGGTTAAAACTGATTGAGGACAAATATAGCCACATTGAAGGTGATTATGTTGGAATTGTCCGCAACCCATCTCCTCTAATTCCTCCAATTTTTGTGATGGATGAACATGGAAGATGCATGGAATGGAACGAGGCTATGCACAAATTGACTGGGTTGAAGAGGGAGGAGGTCATTGATCAAATGCTTCTTGGTGAGGTTTTCACAGTCAATAACTTCGGTTGCAGGGTGAAAGATGGAGACACACTAATCAAGCTCAGGATATTATTTAATAGGGTAATTGCTGGCGGGGAAGGTGAGAAATTGTTTTTGGGGTTATTTGATAAACAGGGTAAGTATATTGAAGCCTTAATATCTGCAAATAAAAGGATTGATGCCGATGGTAGGGTAACTGGGGTCTTGTGCTTCCTGCATATTCCTAGTCCAGAACTTCAATATGCACTGCATGTGCAGAAGATGTCAGAACAAGCTGCTGAAAGTAGTCTAAATAAGTTGGCTTATGTTCGTCTTGAACTAAAAAACCCTTTAAATGGGATAAAGTGCATTCAGAATCTGATGAAATCTTCTGATTTAAGCAATGATCAAAGTCATTTGCTGAAGACAAGCACAATGTGTCAAGAACAACTAGCCAAGATCATTGATGACACTGATATTGATAGCATCGAGGAATGGTATGATATTTGACCTCCATTTTGTCGTTGTACTATTTATGTAAAGAAGAAATATCTGCTTTATGCTCAGGCCATTGCACTAGTATTTCTGCGTATCAGGATCATAGCAGTAGTTTCCATGACTTGCAAAGGGATATTCTTGACTGCTTGTTTTTCACAAATCGTGCGCATGACATTCAGGAGATTGTTAAGGAAGTTTTTTTTATCTTTTGATAAGTGAGTTTGCTAAGAAAGCTGATCGGTCAGTTCTTCAGATCTTTGCTTTTCAGAAGTCTTTGATGTATTTCTCTCTTCTTGATGTTAGTTTATGTATCTCTATGGTGAAGGGCAGAGATGGATTGAAACGAATGAAGAAACGAGTGCTTAGTTCCCTTAGATAATTTTAAAAGCAAATGATCCACAATTTTTGCTATGTGGTCACTATTAGGCTGAAGGCTCTTAACCTATAGGGAAGAGAAGAGAAAAGTACAAGAAGGGAAACTAGGATGGAAATAGTAGTCCAAAAATGAAACTGATCTGCTCTTTAGTTTCCAAACAGAGAATTACAGTGTACAAAACTGTGAATTGAAAATTTGGTGTCGTTTTAAGAGATACATTTTCTCTCTTTTTAAGGAAACATATATGGTGATGCATCAATTAAATAACTTGATTTACCATCACTTAGCAAAGGAAGAAGTGGCAGGGGGAGTAAGCTCATGGGTTAGCAAGAAGTTATAGAGTTGAGGCTGGAATATACAATGTGAGGGATCCATGACGTTAATTTGATGGATGATTGCTACCTTAAAATGTGAAAATTTGTACTGTTAATCAGGAAAGTAATCTGAAGTAGCTGTTAATAAACCATATATGATAATACACATTGGAATCCATGATTAATAGACAGTGCAGTTCATGATAATGTTTGAGTTTGTTGCACTATGGCATCTTAATGTCACACTAATTTGCATCTATTGAATCATTTAGCATATATTAGATGTGTTAGATCTGGTCTTGGAGAGGTATCCGATATTTGTTATCTGTATATATTTTTGGACCAGTCCTGATCATTGCAATATTTTTTTCAGCTATATGGAAATGAACTCTTCTGAGTTCAATCTTGGCGAAGTTGTTACAGTGGTCATCAATCAAGTTATGATTCTAAGTCAGGAGCGCAAGGTTCAGGTCACATGCGATTCACCTGTCGAACTATCACACTTGTACCTGATTGGTGACAGTTTGAGGCTTCAACAAGTCCTTTCTGACTTTTTGACCACAGCTATCCTTTTTACTGTTCCTTTTGAAGGTTCCTCTGTGGTGCTCAGAGTAATTCCAAGAAAGGAACGTATAGGGACCAAGATGCACGTCATGCATCTTGAATTCCGGTAATCAGTTCTTATCTCTCAGATTTGGATTTATTGATTATCTTGCATGCAAGTCATTTAATAAAATGAAGTTTGCATGCCTGTTGTAGATTGTAAGGAAGTAATTACTTCTAATTATATTAATGTAATCCTGGCTTGGTTGTCAGGGTGGTGGTTGTACTCCACGATTCTTACTATGCATCTTTTGCTGTTTTATGGGAAAGCATTATTCGTGCTGCTTAAATTGTTTAAACAAAGTAAATTATAATAATTCGACTTTAAGTTTTGTTGTGACAAAGTGGGGCAAGTTCCACTCTTTTTTTCCTCTCTCTTGAATTGGAGGTGACTGATGCATATATCGTACCCGCAGACTATGCTGAAGCTCAAAAAGGCTAAATAATGCCTTTTGGCCTAGTGAAACAGCATTAAAATGCTGTATTGCACGTCAATCTTTTGACTCTCTTAACGTAATATGGTGTCAAATTAATGAGCATATTAAGTAGGGGCAATCTGCTCTAATTTCTTTTCGCTGATCGGTCAGTATTTACCTAGAAGTAGCAGATATCGAGTTCTCGATTATGCTTTATAGCAGTTTTAACTGATTGCCCATTGATTTTGAATCTTGAAACTATCTGGAATGATACTTTCATCTCCTTTTAGTAAAATGGAATATATTACGTACATTATCATACTATCCAACATTTTCCTCTTGACTTGTGTCTTAGGTTGCAGGTTTGATGTGCCAAGTGAACTAACTCAGGTATTTAAGTGTCCTCGAGTTGTGAAGGCTGCGGGTTGGCCCAAAGGGTCGGCTGCCGACGGATTTCTCGGTCATAAAAATAACAACAATATACCCAGTATAATCCCATATAGTGGGGTGTGGGGAGGGTAGTATGTACGCATACCTTACCTTTACCTTGTGGAGATAGATAGGCTGTTTTCAATAGACCCTCGGCCAAAAAAAAAGGGAGAAGGGACAAGTTTAGAGTACCCTCCATAAAAGAAAGAAGAAAGAAAAAAAATATAAAATCTCTCGATTTATCCAAATTTCATAGAGCTGCAATTTATTATCTATATTCTTCCAAATTATTGTACTTTCGCGTCCGTATGACCATCCTAACTATTTGAAGGGGAAAATTGATCACTTTGTGAAAATAAGAAAGAAGTATACAAGTAGACAAACAAAATTTCAACATTGCGCATAAAACCAAAAATGAGGGGACAAAATACAATCATTTAAACCCACAGCTTCCACGGTGCACTAAAAGAATTTAGATACATTACAAACTTTTCGTCATAGGAGGTGGTCATATGTTCTTACAGAGGGTACAAAATATTATTATTTTTATTTTGGGCACGCTAGATTCTTAACTACTTGAACTTGTAATGTTTTTGTTTTATACCTTGTTAAAATCTCACTCCAAATGATAAAGTATCTCATCCCTCTTTCCTAATTCTTCATATAAGGTTTCCTTTATAGTTTGATAGATTGATCTGATTCCATTTTACGTAAATCTAACTATATTGCAGAATCACTCATCCAGCCCCAGACGTACCTGAAGAGCTAATTCAACAGATGTTCTACTACAGTCAGAGTATATCAAGGGAAGGTCTTGGCCTATACATCAGCCAGAAACTTGTTAAAATCATGAATGGAACCGTCCAGTATCTTCGGGAGGCGGAGAGATCCTCATTCATTATCTTAGTTGAATTTCCACTGACAGACCAGAGAAACCACTAGCATCAGTGTTCCCGACTATCCTGCTGCAGTCAACACATATTTACATGAAATTCTTAAGACAAGCTTGTCAATATTTTCACAAACTGATAGCCAAAATCTGCTGATGGTCACATTTCATTATTTCTAGTGGTCCTTCTCTATTTACCAAGGCTCTTGCAAATGGAATTCACTAGAACTGAGTGGAGCATTTCTTTGCTGATCTCTTTGCTTCATCAGGGGCATACTGGCTCAAGATTCCAGAAAAGGCTTATTTCAGAGAATCAGCTAATCTGTTGCTCGATGAGCCTTTTGCAGTGATGGTTTTAGAAGTGGAGAATTTCGATTCTCCTCCATGTCATCTACATAAAAGCTGCACATGCCAGTCTCTTCTCCTTCAGGACCATTAATTGCAAAAATCGCATTTCGAGGGCAGAGGATCTTCTTTTATACTTTGACGGGGGTATCTTGATATTTATTTAGGCACATTGTTATATTACTGTCCGGGGTTTTGCTCTGCCAAGCCTATTGCATTAACTGGTGGAGGAATTTCCATGGTTGAAGTGTTTCCAGTTTTCTCCATGGCTTCTCCAGTGTCAAGTCGCACATCTGTTGAGGGGGTATGTGTTGTGAACTCCTTACATGGTCTTGTGCAATCATCCGAGCTAGGTTTTGGGGGTTAAATTAGGCTCAAAGGCCATATCTTCACATGGTATCAGAATCAGATTCATTGGTCACTGTTGTTGTGTTGCTCAATGTTTGGCCCTCGTAATCCACGCTCCAGTTGTCCAGTATTGGGCGTGTGAGGGAGTGTCAAGTCCCAGATTGGTTGATGGGGGTATGGATTGTCGTCTTCTTATACGGTCTCAGGAAATTCTCCTCTCAGGAGCTAGCCTTTGGGGTTGACGATGTCTAAGTTCCACATCCAGAGAGTCCAGCATAACTTAGTTGTCAAAGAACATATCTTTCTTCTAACAAATTAACTGGCACAATGTACAGGACACACATTAGATACTCCTATTTTCTTTAATTTATACAACATTGTGCAGTGAAAATTTCTTGGAATAGATCAAACTTCCAGATTGAGACCATTGATGAAGTTGAATGATGAAGCAGGTCTGCTTTCAGCATTATCAGCTGGAATACAAGATCAAGTGCTGCTAACTTGACTCGCTAATGTCAGCAACTGTTGGGAGCCTGAGCTATACCATTATGTTGCAATACTATGGGAGAACTGTATTATTACTTTGTTTTGCAACTGTTGTATATTTAGTTTGGCTCATGTGAGATATCCCAGGTTTTCAGTGGCTTTGGCCCAGTCTCATTCTCTTTAGCTGAACTTATCAATTCAGGATGATTTTCATATAGCAGTTCCGATTAAAGATAATGAAAAACATCTCTTTTTCGTCTTTTTTTCTTTCCCTTTTACAGCGACAACAAAAACGCAGTGAGTTCTCACAAGTGGGGTTTGGGGAGGCTGGTGTGTACGCAGACCTTACCACTGCCATAGGAGGTCAGAGAGGCTTTTTTTCCCGTTTCTTTTTCATTGTTATTGGCTCAGAGTCATAGGCTGAATGTCCTGTTATCTGACATGGAGTCTAGGTAACTTCTTGCAGCCATATTGTGGTGGAAATACGATGTATAAAAGAAATATACAGTAACTATGATGTGCTTTTATTCTATTACTAGTCGCGGTAAGCCCGTGCTGAGCTCGGGCCCAAATTCAAGACCAAAAAGTAATAGTAAAAATTGACGGGGCGCCCTATTTGGTCGCCCTCATTTAACCTATACCGATTTTTTTTAAAACTTTTAACTTGTATCTACTTTTTAAATAACTTTATTTCCCTTTCTCCTCCCCCTTCTCCTCCTTCATTTTCTTTTTTCTTCTTCTATAACGATGACTTCAACATTGCTCTCTTTGATTAATGAAGCTAAAGCAAATATACTGAGGACTTCATTTGGATTATTATAACATTAAAAACCAGTTTCCTCATTGTCTGAAAACACAACTCCGTCATCCATTGCTGGAAATTTACTTGATACCGTGAATGTTTCTGCACAAGGAACCCAGCCTTTAACAGTAAGTTTCAAATTCATTCTTTCCGATGCACATTGAGTTTGTTCTTCTTTTTCTTTTCTCTTTTGAGTTTTTTTTTTTTTTTGGCTATGAAACGTAGCTTTTGATATATTTAAAACATGAAAGTTAACAGAGTACACAGTAGATGGAACTGAACGATGGATCCGATTACATAAAATCTAATAGCGGCAAACTAAAGTTGAGTGAGTTATCAAAAACTAGAACATCTTGATATTGGAATTCCCCAGTTACAAAGACAAAAGCTTCAACTCTAGAGCTGAAGTTTCTCAGTTACAACACAAAAACTTCAGGTCTAGAGCTGAAGTTCGCCAGTTACAAAACAAAAACTTCAGCTCTAGAGCTGAACTTCAGGCCCGGCTATTAGAATGCTGAAGTTTTGCGTGATTGCCTTTGCTACTTCAGCCCCGTGTGCTGAAGTTATGCGAAAAAGCGGGTACGCTTGTAATTTTTTTTGCAAAGCGAGCACAAGTTAAAATGTGACACAAAAAGCAGGTATAGATGCAAATACCCCAAAGTAATACATATGATTAAAAAGAAGCAATTTGCATTATGTTTTTACGTTTTCACCAAATATCTTATTTCTCCTGATAAAAAAATAATTGTGTGTACTCAAATTATAACCAAGATAAATTTCAAATCTACCGGCACGTTTTCAGTCTTGTATTCCTTGTGAATCCCGAATTGATATACTATGTATCATATTTAAGAGATTTGCTTAGAACTCGTATCAACACAACAAAGAAGTAAATCTATTTCCCTTATTTTTGAACTCACATGGCTTTAGTTTATTGATTGCTACCTTCAAAATGCAAGGTTCTATTTTTATTTAGAGGTAACATTAACGTAGACATCTAGCGGATATAATCAATGTAAATCTGGGGTGTTCATATTCTTACTTAAAGGTAACAATATCCCATATATTTATGATCAAAATATCTTGTTGATGTTGTATAGATCTTTGCTTTTGGACATTTGTTCCTTTGCTACATATTGTAGGATAGACAAATGTGTCATTTTAGTTTAAACTCCAAAAAATTCAAAATCTAACGATAATGATAATAATAATTTTTTTTTAAAAAAGATCTTCTCATAATTTCTAGAGCATAAGCTGTCCAAATATATATATAATTTTAAAGCCTTTCAAATTTAAAATATATTTTTTTTTAAAAAAGTTCAATTTTGATTTCTAAAAATTAATTCGGAATGATCTTTGAAACAGATAAAAAAGAGCACAAAGTTATGTTTTGAAAAAAAAAAACCAAAATATTCTATACAAAATCAAAAACTATTTAAAAGACTAAAAAACCTTACCAAGAAATTTTTTTCTTTAAGAATAAGTTTAAAAGAAACAAAATAAAAATCAAATTGAAATTAGGCAAAGAAGACTAAGGAGACATACCTTTGTTGATACCATGAGAATAACTTACTTAAGTTCCTACGATCCTCTTAACCGAAAAATAAAATTATAAATATCCACACACCAAAATAGAGTTTAAAAATATTGGGCTTAATGTGGTTTACTCCTCTTGCTAATATTTGAACTTTTTCACTTTTAAAGGATGCGTTTATGCTAATGTAGCAATAAAATTACATAGACTGATGAATAGGAGTTGGATGTTACACGTTTTATTGAATTTGTAAAGGTAAAAAGTACATATAAGCTATAGTACTTCAGCAATTCTAGTTATAGAACCAAATATTTTGGTTAAGATGAACCATAACTCCATTGAAGACTTAAGAAAGTCCAAAAAGTTAGTTTTATTTACGAAATTTTTGGGGGCATCTACTGCAATAAAAGGTTAATGTAGGGTGAGAAAGGATAGTAGAAAGAATAAGTGTACTATCTCCTGTAAGAATCCCATAGAATTACAAAAATAGGACTTAAAAATAGTATCATTAACTCAACACCTGCAAAATTAATAAAGTAAAATATGGCAATTTTAAGGGCAATAATTTTGAAAACTTGAATGTGAGGACGACAAAATCTTTGGGTTGTCACATAATTAGAAAAGTTTTGTAGTCACATAATTNCTTAATTTCAGAAGAATCAAAGGAATTTCAAGAATTAATTAGTACTTCATATATAGTTTATGCTTAAGAATATTAATTTTCAATTAACCAAATAGGAGATTTTAAAGATAATTCTATATTTATTGATATCACTATCTTTATTTTCAACATTGTCAATAATTTTTATTTTCAATATTTGAATACGCCGTGGATATTTCAAAATTGTAGGATATATTATACATACAACAACAACGACCCAGTATAATCCCACAAGTGGGGTCTGGGGAGGGTAATATGTACGCAGACCTTACTCCTACCCCGAAGAGTAGAGAGGTTGTTTCCAGGAGACCCTCGGCTCAAAAAAAGCAACAGGAGACGATATATTAGTACCATAAAAATGCATAATAAAATAACAGCAATATAAGAGATATGAAATACAGAATACGAAATACGAAATAGATGGCTGGTATAGTAAAAACTAGCAGGTAAAGCCCTGCATCAATAGACGACCAATGACATTCTTAGTCTAACTCCTAACTGGCTAGTCTCACTATATTGTGCTTTAGAGATATTCACAACTTTCCCCTAACCTACAACCTTAATGCTCGACCTCCATAATTCCCTGTCAAGGGCCATGTCCTCAGTAATCCTAAGTCGCGCCATGTCCTGTCTGATCACCTCTCCCCAATACTTCTTAGGTCGCCCTCTACCTCTCCGCGTGCCCACTACAGCCAGTCGCTCACACCTCCTCACTGGTGCATCAGTGCTCCTCCTCTGAATGTGCCCGAACCATTTGAGTCTTACTTCCCGCATCTTGTCCTCCATGGGGGCCACGCCCACCTTCTCTCAAATATCTTAATTCCTAATCTTATCCATCCTTGTATGCCCGCACATCTACCTCAACATCCTCATTTCTGCTACTTTCATCTTCTGGATGTGTGAGTTCTTTACCGCCAACATTCAGTTCCATATAACATGGCAGGTCTAACCACCGCTCTATAAAACTTAACTTTTAGTAACGGTGGCACTTTCTTGTCACACAAGACTCTCGACGCTAACCTCCATTTCATCCACCCCACCCCTATACGGTGTGTGACATCCTCGTCAATCTCCCGATCCCCTGAATAACCGATCCAAGGTACTTGAAACTACCCCTCTTGGGAATGACTTGAGAGTCAAGCCTCACTTCAACTCCCGCTTC